ACATGTGTTCACACAAATGTCTACAGATGCGCCTTGCATTTGACCCATTTCCCTCATCTGCTTTCCCATTGAAGGTAAAAAAGAAATTCGAATTTTCATAAATTATTTATTTAGGTCTCATTGATTTTTGGCACGGCTGGCAAAAGATTCGGTCTGCTGTTTTATTTAACAAACGGGACGATGTTCAGCCACATTGACATCACTGCAAGCAAGCAATTACATCAGCGGTGCAATGATGTAAAATTAAATGACAATGAGGACGACGAAGAAGGAGAGGGAGGGGGAGAGAGGAGGAGAGGAAAACATAACCCACATCATCGTCATCATAAACTTATATATTCATTATAATACCTTTTTGCTGCTAAAGGTGGGTGTTGTTGCTGCCTTTGGTTTTTGTTGTTTTTCTTGTTTTATTACGTCCCACTAAATAAGCCATTTAGTTACGTAGTTACTTGGCTAACCAAGAAATTCCTTTTCCCTTTTTTGCCCCAACAGTTATTGTTGTGTTGGTTATTTTTATAGGATTTTCTCTCAACTTTCTCTTTGGTTTGTATTTGGTTCTTTTGTTGTTTTTCCTCTATCTCCCTCTACCTTTCTCTTTTATATATGTGTAATCAAGTCCAACACTCATCTGAAGTCATGCCTAAAAACCACTCATCTCTCAATGAACAACTCTCACTCAGGGCATAGCAGAGAATTACGTTTTGAGTGTCGTTGTGAGAACAAGGGTTTATGTTGGCTCTCATCCATTCTCTGCCCTTGATGATTGAAAGGGAGTGTGTAACAATGTTGCCGCTTTAGATGTAATTCTCTAAAAAATCGTGGAATTTGAAGAGATTTTTGAAAGGATTGATTTTAGGGTTATATATTTCAAGGATCAACTGAGGATTTTTAAAGTATTTTATTTTTTCAAAACCATCGCAAATATTAAAGAAACTTTAAAGGGGAATATTTCAAGAATCTACTGTGGACTTTCAAGCATCAAGATATAAAAGATCTTGTGTTGATAGAAATATTGAGATGTGTCAAGTTTGAATGGTATCGGATGTTAATTCCGCGTTTTATGAGCTTCACGGATGTTCAAAATGTTGACCCTTTGTGGGGGAGGTATCAGAAGGAGTGGACCTATGTATTCCATCTTCACACCAGTTCTTGGGTTGAGTAAAATTATTGTGATGTGTGAAGTTAGAAAACAATCGGACTACTGGACCGTTATTTTCCACTTTCGCACCAGATCTAGCATTGATGCAAATATTAGGATTCTTAAAGTTGGAGCAAAATCGGATTATTTTTTCTCTTTCTGTACAGTAAATTATTTTCTTTGAAAATGTTGACATTTCGTGTGTGAGGTACCTGAAGGAGTTGACTGATATTGCCCATCTCGGAACTCGATCTAAGTTTGGCCATAATATTACGATGTACCAAGTATGGACCAAATTGGATACTCCCTACTCCCAGACAGACAGACGGGTGGAGCGGCATCGCTAGATCGACTCCAAATGTCCTGAAACGAACTTTGTCCAAAGAGACCAAGGGTCTAAACCCGTTTTTTTTTCGAAGAAACGGCCGATCGAAGTGAGGGCAGGGCACAACAAACGCAGAACACCAGTGACATCCAAGGACGGACTGGCCATGTATGAGATCATACCAAACGGTTCCAGCCTTAATTCCTCCCCGATGACTTTATGAATAATCTCACCCTCACCGAGAGACTATCATTCTAGGCAAATTAACAACGAGTGACCTGAACTAGCTGGAAGTCCTGTAAATATAGTTCACATTTCAGTAAACCAGTTCCTAACCGTATGAGTGATTCCATCAATTTCATATCATTAATACCTAGAGTTTTAATCGCGGAATTAGATAAGGAACTAGTTCGTTCGATCGAAGTAGAATGTGCGGACAACCAAATTTAGGAGATCACTGATCCAAGGGGTCCTATATCGATAGTAGACATTTTATAGTCAAAGTCATTAATTTTCTGATGGGGCTAAATTTTTTAAAAAATATTTTTCTAAGGACTATAGGAGCCTGGATTTTTTGAAAGAATATTTTTTCAGGAACTATCAGGGCCTTGATTTTTTAAAAGAGTTTTTTTTTCATAACGTTGTTTTTTACAAACTATTTTTTCAAGGAATATCAAGGATTAGATTTTTTTGACGAAAATATTTTCTAAGGACTATCGGAGCCTGGATTTTTTAAAGAAATTTTTTTTCAAGGATTTTTTTTAAAAAATATTCTATTCAGGAAATATCATATCGTGTTTTTTATGAATATTTCTTTCAATGACTATTGGAGCCTGGATTTTTTTGAAACATTTTTTCGATGAACTATCGTGGAATGAATTTTTTAAAAAATAGTTTTTCTAAGGTCACGTAGAGAATGGATTTTTTTAAAGAATATTTTATTCTGAGCATTGGTAGGGCGTGAATTCTAAGGACTACCAGAGAGTGGATATTGTAAAAAATATTTTTGGGTCTTACAAAAGGTAGATTTTTTAAAGGAATATTTTGTCCTGAGGCGAGCCAGGATTTTTTAAGAAATATTTTTTCGGGACGTGGATTTTTTATAGAATGTTTTTTTCTATCGATTTTTAAAAAAAAAAATCTATTCAGGAAATATCAGATCGTGTTTTTTTTAATATTGTTTCCATAAACTATCGTGGCTTGGATTTAAAAAAAATTCTAAGGTCTTGTGGAGAATGGATTTTTTTGTTAAAGATTATTTTATTCTGAGCATTGGTAGGGCGTGGATTCTAAGGACTACCAGAGAGTGGATATTGCAATGAATATTTTTGGGTCTTAAAAAAGGTAGATTTTTTAAAGGTATATTTTGTCCTGAGTCGAGCCAGGATTTTTTAAGAAATATTTTTTCGGGGTTAGATTTTTTAAAGAAAAAATTTTTCAAGGATTTTTTTAAAAAATATTCTATTCAGGAAATATCATATCGTGTCTTTTGTAAATATTTATTTCAATGGCTATTGGAGACTGGATTTTTTTTAATAATTTTTTCCATGAACAATCGTGGCATGGATTTTTTAAAAAATATTTTTTTAAGGTCTCGTAGGGAATTGGTTTTTAAAGAATGTTTTATTCTGAGCACTGGTAGGGCGTGGATTTTAAGGACTACCAGAGGATATTTCAAAGAATATTTTTGGGTCTTAAAAAGGTAGATTTTTTAAAGGTATATTTTGTCCTGAGGCGAGCCAGGATTTTTTAAGACATATTTTTTCGAGGCGTGGATTTTTTAAAGAATGTTTTTTCTAAGTATTTTTTAAAAAAAATATTCTATTCAGGAAATATCAGATCGTGTTTTTTTATGAATATTTCTTTCAATGACTATTGGAGCCGGGATTTTTTAAATATTTTTCCATGAACTATCGTGACATGGATTTAAAAAAATAATCAATGGTCTTGTAGGGAATGGATTTTTTTAAAGAATACTTTATTCTGACCACTTTTAGGGTGTGGATTTTTTCCTAAGGACTATCAGGGAGTGGATATTGCAAAGAATAATTTTGGGTCTTAAAAAGGTATATTTTGTCCTGAGGTTAGCTAGGATTTTTTAAGGAATATTTTTTTCCAGGGACTTTCACGGCGTGGAATTTTTTAGCTAAACTTTTTTTACTTAGGACAGTGAATATTTTTTTAATAGTATTTTTAGGGCTTAGAAAGAGTGAATTTTTGAAGAATTTTTCATTTTCACATGGCTTGTAGGGTGCGGACTATTTAAGGAAAACGGTTTCCAGGAACTATCATAACGTAGACTTAATTTTTTTTTTGGGATCCAATGGGGGTTGGACTTTCTTAAGAATATTTTTTTCTTTTTTTTTTCTAGTGGATTGTAGGTTTTCAAGAACATTTTCTAAGACGATTTCCAAGGACTGTCAGAGAGTAGATTTCTTAAAAACAATTTTTTTGAGAAGCCTAAAAGAGCGAGGTTTTTAATATTTTTTTTTTACTTTTTTCCTTTTTTTTTCTTTTTTTATTCAATTTGGTCAATTTTTCGTGTTGTGGTGGTAATCTCTTCCTTTGAACATTAAGTCGCGCAATGCACACACACATACACATACACACACACACACACACACACTTTTTTCTCATGGACAAAAACACTCAACTCCCCATTAAAAAACTATTAACATAGTGTCTCTCTCTCTTACTCTCTCTTAGATGTTATCTCATTGTGCTGAGAATAACGGACTTTCTCTTTACTCAATTTCTCTGCACTCAATTGCATGGCAAACATCGAGCATTTGGTAATGACATTTACAATGTATGCTGGCAATGTGTTAATCTCATTGTCCATAGAACAAAAGCAACAACAACAATAACGACAACAACAAAGAGAATAATGATGCTGAGAGAAAAATATTGAATTAAGCAAAAAAGGTGTATAAATTGGGATAAAGGGAAATCTGCTGATTAGGAATTTATCCTTTACCTAAGGCAATAACTATACAAATTTTCACACACACACATACATAATGGAAGTTTATGGAGAGGAGAGTCACACACACATATACACAAGGAAATGATGTTTATATAAATGGAAATGAAACTGTATTGAGCCTGAATGTTATCGAGTAAAATATATAATTTTTGCTGGTGTTTTTGTATTCTCTACATAATTCCCATATTTACCCTAGTGCAACTAAATAGTATAAACATAATTGAGGCAACAACAAAAAGTGGAAGAAGAAGCAGAAACAGAAAATAACTAATCTACATAATATATACCTAAATATAAAAAAAAAATCTGTAGTTTTTGTTTCAAAACCAAAGAATTTTAGTTCAAACTCCCCTATCTTGTGCCCACCTAAGAAAATAAAAATAAAAAAAAAGAAAAGAGAAGAGAAGTAATCAATGAAAGTGGAAAAAATGTTCGAGAAAAAACAAACAAATATTTAAAAAAAATAAATTAAAAAAAATACAAAAATTATGAATGAAACCAAGCAATATCCTTGAAATAATTTCAAACCCTAATTTTACCTTTTAAAGGATAAACTAATTTGGAAAAAATAAAACTTATTTTAAAACAAAAAATATTATATTTAAAAAAATTATTTAAATAATCAAAAATATTTAAGTGGAATATAAAAAACCATAAAATTAAACAAAAATTATTTAACAAAAAATAAATTGCATTTAGTTTTACAAATTATAAAAAAAGAAACATAACCTTAAAAAAAATCTAAACCTACTCTAAAGAATTTATCAACAACACAAAAATCAAACAAGTGGTATTAATTTTCAAAGTTAAGTTAAAAATAAAATTAAATTTTGAAAAAAAAAAAAAAAACAACAACAACTATTCTTCACATTGTACCTATAACAAAAACAACAACAACAACTTGCAGATACCATTTAAATGGTCTTCTTATCATTTATTTATAATTTATCTGCTGGCGTATTCTGAATTATTTATTCATTTATTTTTTTTTTTTCGTGGAAATAAAACATCAACAACGGCCATAGCATGCATAGACAACAACAAGAACAGCAACAACAACAACACCAGGGAGCGAAGATTTTTCATCTAAAGGAGATTTTATAAAATGCACGTTAAACCAACCACCCAACGCAGAGTAAGTGGACCTGGAGCATTTGGAACATTCACCGACCAATGGTAAGTGGCACCGCCATCGTCATTATTTTATCTGTGTCTAACTCTACTCCCCCTTTCCCCTCTCTCTCTCTCTACCTGTATAACTGTCTGTTTTTATGTGTATCCTGACGTATTATGTTTTGTTGTTTTTGTTTTTCTTATTTTTTTATTTCATTTATTTTATCCTTCATATGTCAACATATTCTCACCTACACCACCGTACCTTATTATCCATATTATCCAATAGTATGTATTAGCTCATATATGTGTAACAGAAGAAAAGAAAAAAAAAACTATTGACACACCAATCGATGTATTAGTTAGAGTAATGCAGAGAGGGCACAGGATAATAAGTGAAATGTTGTTAGAATGGAATTTGAAAACATGGAAACGGAAATTGGAAACAAAAGGAGGTGTTTTAAAAATTAATTTAAGGACTAACAAGCGTGGATTTTTTTTAAATATTCAAAAATATCCAATGAAAGATGGATTTTTTTGTATAAATTTTTTAAGGATCACAAAAACCAGGATTAAATTTTTTTTCAAGGATCTACACAGGTTTGATTTTTTAGGGAACATATTTCCAAACATAATTACAAAGGTTCTTCCTATACCTTTCACTACAGTTTGGAGGGTATATGCAATTTGTCATTCCTTTTGTAAATTCTCGAAATAAGCAGTCCAAATTGTATGTCGATTTTGCGATGTCTGTCTGTGAAAATTACTCTAGTTTCCGAACGGAATTTTTATTATTGTGACGTCATTTTCCAAAGTTTTTTTTTTTAGTTAGTATTTTCCTTCCAAATGGTGAAGTTAGCTGTTTTTTACTTGTTTTAACTGAAAATTTTCAAGGATCCACAAGACAAGGTTTTGACTGAGGGTATAGTCATATGGCTAGAGAGGGTGTATATCATTTGACAGGTCAAAACGTGCCTAGTCAAAATAACGGTTTTAGACCATTGGTCTCTTTGAACCAAATCCGTTTTAGGATATTTGGAGACGATCTAGTGATGTCCGTACGTCTGTCTGTCTGCCTGGCTGGTGCGCACTATAACTCTCGAAGGGAGTATCCGATTTGGTCCAAACTGGGTACATCGTAATATTTTTGTCAAACTTAGATCGAGGTCGGAGATAGGCAATATCGGTATACTCCTTCTAGTACCTCCCTCACAAAATATCGAAATTTTCAAAAAAAAAAAATATTTTCTACACAGAAAGAGAAAGGATAATCCGATTTTGATCCATCTTTGAAAATCCTAATATTTGCGTTAGTTCTAGGTCAAGTGCGAAAATGGACAGTTGGCCTCCCATACAAAGGGTCATCATTTTGAATAATTACAACTTAACCCAAGGTCTGCTGCTAAGATGGAAAAAAGGACGAAATTTTCAAAAAATATATTTTCTGCACAGAAAGAGAAACGATAATCCGATTTTGCTCCAACTTTGCAAATCCTAATACTTGCATCAGTGAAAATGTGCAATATCGGTCCACTGCATCAACTGCCTCACCCATAAACGGTCAAAATTTTGAAAAAATACAACTCTTACAAACTTTTTATCAACCCAAGGTCTGGTTTAAGAATATATCGGTCCGCTCCATCTGGTGCCTCCTCCACAAAAGTTCGAAATTACGAATATCCCTTAGGCTCATAAAACGCGAAATTAACATCCGATTTTATGTAGACTTGGAACATCTGAATATTTTTATCAAAACAGGATCTGTTATAAAAACGGTAGAGATCAGACCATCTCTTGTGGTACCTCCCATACAAAAGGTCAAAATTTTGAATATCCATGAAGGTCATAAAACGCGAAATAATCATCAGGATCTCTTTATATTTCACACATCCCATTATTTATACTTTTACAAGATCTGCAATTATAATGAGATATATCAGTCCACTCCTTCTGGTAGCCCTCCCCCCCACATAGGTTCAAAATTTTGAATATCCATGAAGCTCATAAAAGCGAAATTAACATCCGATTCCATTCCAGACTTGGTACATCTCAATATTTCCATCAACACAAGATCAGTTATAAATATGTTACAGATCGGACCATTTCTTTTACAACCTGCCCCACATATGGTTCCGGTTTTTGAAAAACAAAACATTCAAAGAAAGCGAAATAAGCATCCAACTCTCCTCAAATTTCACACATACAAACAGTTTTGCTAACACATGATCTGTTGTGAAGCTGATAGATAACTGCAAACCCCTTCTGGCACCTCACCCACAAAGGGTCACAATTTTCAATTGTTTTATCTATCTTAAATTGCGAAACAAATCAGGGATTTTTTTTTTTCTAAATTTTCTAAAAACTATAACTTATCTCATATAAAATGAAGGAGGTAACCAATATAGTCCATACCTGGCACGTCGCTATATTTATGTCATATTTATTTAGGTCCAATACTTAATGAACAATATTGTCTCATTACCTCGGAACCTACTCCAATTTTAATAATCATAACACAAGTCAATATATAATAACATTGGCTGAGGTATACATCTGTCGGCCTAACCGACTGATACTTTTTAACTTGTTTTTTTTTTATATAGAAAATATTTTTTAAAGACGATATTTTTTATAAATAATACTTTTTAAAGGCTTGAATTTTTAATAAAAATATTTTTTATATTTGGATTTGAGGAGGTATATTTTTTAAAGATTTTTATTAAGGAAGTGTACCAAGGGCTTTATTTGTTTTTTTGTTTTATGTTTTTTACATAATAAATAAAAAATGCTAAGGACGTGAAATTCAAGCAAAATGTGTGGAAGTGAATTTTGAAGAAATGTTGTTCTAAAGATTCATATAATTTTAATAACAATTTTAACAGGACCCGCATTTATTTAAAATAAGTTTTTCTTTTTGCAATATTTTTGAAATTTTTTCGAAACAAGTTTCTATTGAACGTCAGACCTCCAAATGTGGATTTTTTACAATATTTTCCTGAAAATAGACAGAAGGAAACAAATAAATATTTAAAATTTGTATTTCTTTGCTAGGACCTTGCGACGTATGATATATGAATTGGATATTTGAATGATAACAAATAAATCATACGCCCCATTGGAAATCAAGGCCAATAACTTTGTCACTCCTTTTACAATTAAATAGTATGATTCAAAAATTTATTTGTTTCCAATTTCAAAAAATGAAAGCCAAAATATTCCTCTGAGCTGTAATAGACCTCTATTTTCAAAATATATATCTCCTAAGATTTTTTTAATTTAGATTTTTATCAAATATTATTCTCAACGGCCATGAGACCTCTAAACGAGGATCTTTTAAAATTTTTTCTTAAAAATAGGCAGAAGCTTAGCAATAAATCTTTAATATTGATGGTCTTTGCTATGACCTTGGGGCGTATGATGTATGTATTGGATATTTGAATAATAAAAAAATAAATCATACGCCTAAGTGGAAATCAAGGCCAAAAACTTTGCCACTCCATTTAAAAAAATCATTTAAAATTTATTATTAAAATTAAAAAAAAAATCAATTCAAAAAGAAGAAAGCAAAAATATTCCATTGGGAGTTATTAAAAAAAAAAAAAAAAAAACAAAAACAATCAGAAACTCATAACAAATCTCGCTCTTTCACTCTCCCTTCAATGGCTGGCTAATTACTCTCCTGGGGAAAAGGGAATGGTATTGAATGTGATGAAATAGTAATAATTCCGCTAACCACCACACACACACACACACATTCGTAATAACAATTACAACATCGACAGCAATTTGGTGGCATGCAAACAGTTAACCTTTGGCCAGGACCGCGCCATTGGTTCGGACTTTCTGTCAATGCCACACAATTGACCATAAACATTTCCGTTTCCGTTAACAATTGCGTTTCACTTATCGTCCTGTGTGATCTCTGGAAAATAAAATAGTAATGAAGTAAAAAATATGAAAAAAAAAAAAATAAATAAATAAAAAAAAACGAAAAATGTAAAAACAAAAACATTTATCATTTTATTGTCTATCTCTCTTATTTATTATTATTTGTGTCTTTTGTTTGATTTACAACACTGTGCAACATATTTGGAGTCATGAATTGAAATTTTAATAAACTTTTGGAAATAATGTTTTTTATATCCTCTGCCATACGAATATCGTTTGATAAGGCCAAAACGTTCTCTACGAAATAAGGGTTCTATACCCTAGGTCTCTTTGAACCAAATCCGTTTTAGGACATTTGGAGTCAATCTAGCGACGTCCGTCCGTCTGTCTGTCTGGCTGGCGTGCACGATATCTCTCAAATGCAGTATCCAATTTGGTCCAAACTTGGTACAACGTAATATTATTACCAAACTTAGATTGAATTCGGAGATGGGCAATTTCGCTTCACTCCTTCTGGTACCTCCCCCACAAAAAGTAAAAATTTTCAAAAAAAAACTAGTTAAAAGGTATTAGACGGTTTTGCCGATAGATGTAAACTCTCAGCCAATATTCGATTATTTAAATATAAGTTGGCATCTGTTTCGTATCGGACCTAAATAAATATGATATATATGGCGAGGTTCCAGGTTTTGGCTTATATTGGTTACTTCCTTCACTTCATATGAGATATTAGTTTTAGAAGATGTTAAAATGTGCGTGAGGTACTAAATATAGTCGACCGAAGTATTCCATTTTCATACCTCATCTAATATGGATAAAAATATTGGTATGGGCAAAATTATGAGAAAATCGAAAATTTATAAACAATTTTAGGCGCAATCATAAATTCCATATTAATCTCAGGTATCTGGTTGAGAGAAATATTTAGATATATCGAGCTGTAAAGAATCGCTGATTAGTTTCGCAAATTATGACAGATAAAAGTATTAAAAATTGTAAAGAAGGGGTCCGCAGATATATACCAGCTTCACAACAGATCTTGTGTTAGGAAAAATGTTTGTCTGTGTGAAATTTGCAGAGAGTTGGATACTTATTTCGCTTTCTTTGAGCGTTTTGTTTTACAAAATCTTGAACCCTATGAGGAGGAGGTACTAGAAGAAATGATCCGATTTCTA